CCTGAATACGTTAGCAAGAGAAGTATTGCCTTTAAAAAAAATTATGCAAATCTTCATATTTTCCTTGACCTTCCTATGGCTTAGAATGTGTGGTTTGATATTTTTATTACGAATGTTTTCTTCTTAGAATTAAATGAATTTTACTTTTATGCTATACTACAGAAAGTATTGTCAGCTAATTTAACATCACATGTTAACCTTGTGTTCATTAATTCTCTGCTTATAAAAGTCTGAAGGACATACATTATGAGGCCAAGTGCATTAGCTAGCATGGTCCTGGTATGTGTGAGCAAACACATTATGCCATTATTATAGCCATAGTTGCTATACATTTGTTTCTGGGCTGTCAGCATACACTTAAATGGGTAGTTGTTGCAGAAGTTGTCTTTCTCCTTGACTTTGATTCCAGCAGCTCAGGTATTCAAGTACAATTATGCTGGGAGGTTTGAGATTTCATTTTGTCTTTTGACAGTTCTCTTTGGGACTTATTAACTACTCTGATCTTTTTGATCTCCAAAGTGTGTGGCTAGCCTTACTCCAAAAAATTAACAACATATTGATAATGTTTATCCTTCTATGCTTTAAAGTTTTTATTAAATTATTTGAAACAGTTTAATGTTATGCTTAAATGGTAAGTGCAGTACTACGTACTAATTTCTCTATTTAAGGTAGAGGCAACCCCTAATTAAGAGATTGTATTGTACAGATTTGTGTTCTCAAATACGTACCACTGCATACATAAAATAGAAACAATGTTATAAATGCTAGTTAAGTTCCCAGGCTAACCCACAGAGACATTTCTAACATCATGTTGCTGACTTCTGATACTAACAATACTCAAAAAACCAAACCCACTGCCCTGGAGTCGATTCTGATGCATATTGACCCAATAGGGTTTCCAAGGCTATAAATCTCAGTGGAAGGAGACAGCCACATCTTCCTCTCATGGAGCCGCTGGTAGTTTCAAACCACCAACCTTTTGGTTAGCAGTCAGTCTCTTCAACCACTGCGCCACCAGGGCTCATGGTACTGACTTTAAATTCTGAGGCCTGAGAACAGGGCAGTACAGGACAGACTAGGAGGAAGAGAAGAGCTTTCTTCCTTTGCTAGCTACTGATGTGTGAATGTCAGTAAGGCTTTAGCTTAGAGTTATTTGCAATTTTAAATTGAAAAAATTTAAACTCTAAAGAATCATTGGTAGAATTTCAGCCAATGTGATTTAAACATTGAGGGGAGGAATATTTTTGCCCTGGGCTCAGTTCAGTTTTACAAATCCCTAAATTCAATTTAACTACTATTTAGTGATGGTTTTTAATTACAACTTCTTTCTTTCCTCATTTGAATCTACATATTCTCTAAATGCTAAGCTTTTACACAGTTAAATT